AAAATTTTGATAAAAGGAAAATGGTGAAAAGAGAAAAAAGAATTGTCAGAAAGGAAAAAGGAGAAGAAGAAAAAGAAAAAAGAAAAAGAAGAAGAAGAAGAAAAAGAAAAAAAAAAAAGAGAAAAAGAATTTTGTATTGCCAAGAACAAGAAGAAGATGGTGAAAAGAGAAATTGGGGAAAAAATTTGTCAAAAAGAAGGAGGAGGAGAAGAAGAAGAAAAGAAGAAGAAGAAGAAGAAAAGAAGAAGAAAAGAGAAATATAAGCAAAAAGTAAGGAGGAGAAGAAGAAGAAGAAGAAGAAGAAAAGAGAAAGAGTAAGCTTTTTTGTATTGCCATGGAACAAGAAGAAGATGGTGAAAGAGAAATTGGGGAAATGATTTGTCGTAGGAGGAGGAGGAGGAGGAGGAGAAGAAGAAGAAGAAGAAGAAGAAGAAAGAGAAATATAAGCTTTTTGTATTGCCAAGAACAAGAAGAAGATGGTAGAAAAGAGAGAAATTGGGGGAAATGATTGGTCAGAAAGGGAGGAGGAGAGGAGGAGAAGAAGAAGAAGAAGAAGAAGAAGAAAAGAGAAATATAAGCTAGACAAGCCAAGAACAAGAAGAAGATGGTAAAGAGAAATTGGGGAAATGATTTGTCAGAAAGGAGGAGGAGGAGGAGGAGGAGAAGGTAGCAAAGAAGAAGAAGAAAGAGAAATATAAGCTTTTTGTATTGCCAAGAACAAGCAAGAAGATGGTGAAAAAAGAGAATTAAAATGGATTTGTCAGAAAAGGAGGAGGAGGAGGAGGAGAGAAGGCTAAAGAAGAAGAAGAAGAAAAGAGAAATATAAGCCATGGTACTACAAGAACAGAAGATGGTGAAAAAGAAATTGTGGGAAATGATTTGTCAGAGAAAGGAGGAGGAGGAGGAGAAGAAGAAGAATAAGAAGAAGAAGAAGAAGAAAAAAAGAAATAGAAAGGGAGAAAACAGCTGAAAAGAAGAAGAAGAAGATGGTGAAAAGAGAAATTGACGGAAATGATTTGTAATGAAAAAGGAGGAGGAGGAGGAGGAGGGAGAAGAAGAAGAATAAGAAGAAGAAAAATTAGAAAAAAAAAAAAAAAAAGAATTGAAAACAGCTGAAAAAGAAAAGAGAAATTGGGGAAAGATTTGTCAGAAAGAAGAAGAATAGGAGAAGAGAGAAGAAGAAGAAAAGAAGAAGAAGAAGAAAAAGAGAAATATAAGCTTTTTTGTATTGCTGCCAAGAACAAGAAAAGAGGACAAAAAAAAAAAGGGAAGGAAAATGTCAGAAAGGAGGAGGAAAAGGAAAGAGATGGAAGAAGAAGAAGAAGAAAAGAGAAATATAAGCTTTTTGTATGAAGAACAAGAAGAAAGAGGAGAAAGAGAAATTGATGAAAATGATTTGTAGAAAGCAGGAGGAGGAGGAAAAGGAGAAGAAAAGAAGAAGAAAAGAAAAGAAGAAGAAGAAGAAAAGAGAAATAGAAGCCAAATGCCAAAAACAAGAAGAAGACAGAAAAGAGAAATTGGGGAAATGATTTGTCAGAAAGGAGGAGGAGGAGGAGGAGGAAAGAAGAAAAAGAAGAAAAGAGAAATATAAGAAAGAGTGGATGAAAAAAAAAAAGATGGGAAAAGAAATTGGGGAAAAGAAGAAGAAAGGAGGAGGAGGGAGGAGGAGAAGAAGGAGAACAAGAAGGAAGAAGAAAAGAATTATAAAAAAAAAAGAAAGGGAAAAAACAGGAGGAAATGAAAAGGAGAAGAAAAGGAAAAGAGGAGGAGGAAGAAGACAAGAAGAAGAAGAAGAAAACAGCGAAAATAAAAAAAAGAAAAGAAGAAGATGGTGAAGAAGAGAAATTGGGGAAATGAAGAAAGAATAAGGGAAGGAGGAGAAGAAGAAGGAGAAAAAAAAAAAAGAAAGGGAAAAACAGTTGAAAAGAACAAGAAAAGGAAAGAAGATGGTGAAAAGAAGAAATTGGGGAAATGATTTGTCAGAAAGGAGGAAAGGGAGGAGAGAAGAAAAAGTGAAGAAGAAGGAGAGAAATATGAAAGAACAAGAAGAAGATGGGAAAAAAAAATTGGGGAAAAAAAAAAGGAAAGGGAAAAAGAAGAAAAGAAGAAGAAAAGAAATAAAAGATTTTTGTACTGGGATGAAGAAGAATAGAAGAGAAATTGGGGAATAATGAAAAGTCAGAAAGGAGGAGGAGGAGGAGAAGGAGGAGAAGAAGAAGAATTAGTGAAGAAAAGAAAGAAATATAAACAGGAAAAGAAGAAGAAGAAGAAAATGGTGAAAGAAGAAAGATGGGAGAAGGCTTGGAAGAATAGGGGAGGAGGAGGAGGAGGAGGAGAAGAAGAAGAAGAATAACGAAAAGAAGAAAAGGGACATAAGGAGGAGGAGAAAAAAAAGAAATGGGAAAAAGAAATTGGGGAAAAAAAAAAAAGAAAGGAGGAAAAGGAGGAAAGAAGAAGAAGAAGAAAAAGAAAAAGAAGAAGAATAGAAATATAAGCTTTTTGAATTGCCAAAAAGGAGAAGAAGATGGAGGAAAGAGGAAATGACGAATAGAATTGTCAGAAAGGGAGGGACAAAAAAAAAAAGAAGAAGAAAAACAGCTGAAAAGAAGGGGAAAAGAAAAGAAGAAGAAGGACGAAAAAGAAATATAAGGAGAAGGCTTGCTTGCCAAGAACAAGAAGAAGATGGAGAAAAGAGAAATTGGGGAAAAAATGGATTTGTCAGAAAGGAGGAGAAAAAAAAGAAGAAGAAGAAGAAGAAAAGAAGAAGAAGAAGAAGAAGAAATATATAGCTTTTTGATTGCCAAGAACAAGAAGAAGATGAGGAAAAGAGAAATTGGGGGAATGGGATTTGTCAGAAGGAGGAGAAGAAGAAGAAGAAAAAAAAGAAGAAAAGGAAGAAGAAGAAGAAGAAAGAAAATATAAGCTTTTTGTATTGCCAAGAACAAGAAGAAGATGGTGAAAGAGAAATTGGGAAATGATTTAAAAAGGAGGAGGAGAAGGAGGAGAAGGAAGAAGAAGAAGAAGAAGAAGAAGAAGAAGAAGAAGAAGAAAAGAGAAAAATAGAAGAAGAAAGAAGATGACGAAAAGAGAAATTGGGGAAGAATATTTTGTCAGAAAGGAGGAGGGAGAATGAGAGAAGGAGAAGAAGAAGAATTAGAAGAAAAAAAAAAAAGAAAGGAAAAAATGAAGAACAAGAAGAAGATGGTGGAAAAGAGAAAATTGAAATGGAAGAATCAGAAAGGAGGAGGAGAAGAAGAAGAAGAAGAAGAAGAAGAAGAAGAAGAAAAGAGAAAAAAAAAAAAAAATTTAAGAAAACAGCCAAAGAACAAGAAGAAGATGGTGAAAAGAGAAATTGGGGGAAATGATTTGTCAGAAAGGGGAGGAGGAGGAGAATGAGAAGAAGAAGAGAAGAAGAAGAAGAAGAAGAAGAAAAGAGAAATAAAAAACAGTTGTAAAGAAGAAAGAACAAGAAGAAGAAGAATGGTGAAAGAGAAATTGGAGGAAATGAGATTTGTCAGAAAGGAGGATTAGAAGAAAAAAAAAAGAAAGGAAAAAGAAGAGAAAAAGAAGAAGAAAAGATAAGGGAAGAAGAAGAAGACAGAGAAGGCTAAGAAAGAAAAAAAGGAGGAGGAGAAGAGAGAATGAGAAGAATGAAGAAGAATTAGAAGAATTAGTGGAAGAAAAAAAAAGAAAGGGAAAAAAACAGAAAAGAAGAAGAAGAAAAAGATGGGAAGAAGAAAATGGGGAAATGATTTGTCAGAAAGGAGGAGGAGGAGGAGGAGGAGGAGAAGAAGAAGAAGAAAAGAGAATTAAGAAAAAAAAAAAGAAAAAAGAAGAAGATGGTGAAAAGAGAAGAAGAAGGATTTATTGTGAAAGGAGGAAAAGAAGAAGAAGGGAGAGGAAGAAGAAGAAGAAGAAGAAGAAGAAGAAAAGAAGAAGGAAGAGAAATATAAGAAATTGGAGAGAATGATGAAAGAACAAGAAGAAGTGGACAAAAAAAAAAAAGGGGAAATGAGCTGAAAGAAAGGAGGAAAGGAAAAGAGGAGAAGAAGAAGAAGAAGAAGAAGAAAAGAGAGAATAATGAAAAAGAAGGAAGAAGATGGAGAAAGAGAAATCAGAAATGATTTGTCAGAAAGGGGAGGAGGAGGGTAGAATTAGAAGGAAGAAAAAAAAAAGAAAAGAAGAAGAAGAAGAAAAGAAGAAATATAAGCATTTGTAGAGAAAGGGGGAAGAATAATGAAAAAGGAGGAGGAGGAGGAGAAGAGAAATTGAAGAAGAAGAAGAAAGAAGAAGATTTGTCAAAAAAAAAGAAAGGGAAAAAAGAGGAAAAGAAGAAGAAAAGGAAAAGATACGGAAGAAGAAGAAGAAGAAGGAGAAGAAGAAGAAGAAAAAAGAAAAGGAAGGAGGAGAAAGAGAATGATAATAGAAAATTTTGAATTAGTGGACAAAAAAAAAAAAAAGAAGAAGAAAAAGAAGAAAAGAAGAAGAAAAGGAAAAGATATGGACAAGAAGAATAGAAGGAGAAGGTGAAGAATAATGAAAAAAAGGAGGAGGAGGAGAGGAGAATGAGGAGAAGAAGAAGAAGTAGAATTAGAGAAAAAAAAAAAGAAAGGGAAAAACAGCTGAAAAAGAAGAAGAAAAGAAAAGATACGGAAAAGAAGAATAGACGGAGAAGGCTTAAAGAAGGATGAAAAGGAAGAAGAGGAGGAGGAGAAGAAGAAGAAGAAGAATAGAACTAGTAGAATTAGTGGACAAAAAAAAAAAAAAGGGAAAAAAAGATTTTGTCAGAAGAAGAAAAGAAAAAGATAAACGAAGAAGAATAGAAGAAGAAGGCTTTAAGAATAATGAAAAAAGGAGGAGGAGAAGAGAAATTGAGAAATGATTTGGGGAGGAAGAAGAAGAAGAAGAAGAAGATTAGAAGAGAAAAAAAAAAAAAAAAATAAGAAAAAGAAGCCAAGAACAAGAAGAAGATGGTGAAAAGAGAAATTGAAAAAGATTTGTCAGAAAGGAGAAGGAGGAAGAATAATGAAAAAGGAGGAGGAAGAAGAAGAAGAAGAAGAAGAAAGAGAAATATGAATTTTTGTATTGCCAAGAACAAAAAAGAAAAAAAAAGAAAAGAAAAAATTAGGAAAAGAAGAAGGAAAGGAGGAGGAGGAGGAGGAGAAGAAGAAGATGGAGAAGGCTTGAAGAAAAATGAAATATAGGAGAAGGAGAAGAAGATGGTTTTGAAATGATTTGGTCAGAAAAAAAAAAAAAAGAAAAGGGAAAAAAGAGCTGAAAAAAGAAGAAGAAAAGGAAAAGATGGAAGAAGAAGAGAAAGAGAAATTGGGGAAATGAATAATGAAAAAAGGAGGAGGAGGAGGAGGAGAAGAAGAAGGAAGAAGAAGAAGAAGAAAAAAAAAAGATAAGGGACAAAAAAAAAAAAAAAGAAAAAAAAAAAAAACAGCTGAAAGAAGAAGAAAGAAAAGACAAAGAAGACGAAATGAAGAAGAGAAGAAGAGAAGGCTTGGAAGAAGAAAGAAAAAGGAGGAGGAGGAGGAGGAAAATGAAAGAAGATGGTGAAGGAAGAAATTGGGGAAATTATTTGGAAAAAAAAAAGGAAAAGAGAAGAAAAAAGAAGAAGAAGAAGAAAAAGAGAAAAAAGATTTTTTGACGAAGAAGAAGAAGAAGAAAAGAGAAATTGAAGAATAATTTGAAAAAGGAGGAGGAGAAGAAGAGAGGAGGAAGAATAAGAACGAAAGAAGAAGAAGAAGTAGAATTAGAGGAATAAAAAAAAAAAAAAAAAAGAAAAGGGAAAAAAGAAGGAAAAGAAGAAGAAAAGGAAAGAAGAAGAAGAAGAAGAAGAGGAGAAGGTATAAGAATAATTTTTGGATTGCCAGAACAAGAAGAAGAGGTGAAAAGAGAATGGGGAAAATGAACTAGTAGAATTAGTGGACAAAAAAAAAAAAAGAAAGGAAAAGAAGAAGAAAGAAGAAGAAGAAGAAAATACGGACGAAGAAGAATAGACGGAGAAGGTTGGGGAAGAATAATGAAAAGGAGGAGGAGGAGGAGGAGAAGAAGAAGAATGAAGAATAGAAAGAAGAGTAGAATTAGTGGACAAAAAAAAAGAAAGGGGAAAAACAGTCAGAAAAGGAAGAAGAAAAGGAAAAGATAGGACGAAGAAGAAGAGACGGAGAAGAAGAAGATGGTGAAATAATGAAAAAGGAAGGAGGAGGAGGAGGAGGAGAGGAGAATGACGAATTTAGTAGAATTAGTGGACAAAAAAAAAAAAAAGGAAAACAAAAACATTGCCAAAAGAAGAAAAGATGGTGAAAAGATAAATTGGGACGAAGAAGAATAGAAAGGAGAAGGAGGAAAGAATAAGAAAAAGAAGGAGAAGGAGAGGAGGAGAAAAGAGGAAAAGAGAATAGAACTAGTAGAATTAGTGGAAAAAAAAGAAATAAAAAACAAATTGAAAAAGAAGAAAAAGAAAGATACGGAGGAAGAAGAATAAGAAGAAGAAGGAAGAAGAAGAATAATGAAAAGGAGGAGGAGGAGGAGGAGAAGAAAGAAGAATGACGAAAAGAAAATAGGGGAAATATTTTGACAAAAAAAAAAAAAAGAAAGGGAAAACAAGAAAAGAAGAAGAAGAAGAAAAGATAGAAGAAGAAGAATAGGAAAAGAGAAGGCTTTTTGAAATAATGAAAAAGGAGGAGGGAGAAGGAAAAGAGAAAATGGGGGAGAATGATTTGTCAGAAAGGAGGAGAATTAGAGAACAAAAAAAAAAAGAAAGGGAAAAAGAAAAAAGAAGAAGAAGAAGAAAAGAGAAATATACGAAGAAGAACAAGAAGAAGATGGAAGAAAAGAGAAATTGGGGAAATGATTTGCAGAAAGGAGGAGAGAGGAGAAGAAGAAGAAGAAGAAGAAGAAAAAAAAAGAAGAAGAAAAAGAAGAAAAAAGAGAAATATAAAAGGAAAAGAAGAAGGAAGAAGAAGAATAGATGGAAGAGAAATTGGGGAAAATAATTTGTCAGAGGAGGAGGAGGAGAAGGAGAAGAAGAAGAAGAAGGAGAAGAAGAAGAAGAAAAAAAAAAAAAAAAGAAAAAGAAAAATAATATGAAAAGAAGTATTGCCAAGAACAAGAAGAAGATGAGAAAGAGAAATTGGGAAAATGAAAAAGGTCAGAAAGGGAGAGGAGAAGGAGGAGAAGAAGAAGAAGAAGAAGAAGAAGAAGAAGAAAAAAAAAAAAAGAAAGGGAAAACAAGAAAAAAGAAGAAAAAGAAGAAGATGGGGAAAAGAGAAAAACAT